TGCTGGCACTGACAGCAGAATTGTTTTTCATGGAGACCCTCTTCTATTTCAGGATGATGAAAGCAACCGCTTTTATTTGAAGGCAGAATATGCTATTGATTTATCTCCAGAATCAGCCTTTTTGGCCACACTGCTATCTCTGTGCAGTGCTTGTGGGGCTTATATTATAGTTTGAGGGCTGTCTTTTAACTTTAATTTGAGAAAAACATCTGTGGAACTGAGACCAGTTCACAGAACCATGAGTCATACATTGGTCTCTGGAAAACTATTTCAGTTTCTGCATGTCTGTTTTTCTTCCTGCAATTAGCCAGCTATGTACAGTTCCCACCATGTGTAATGCTAGGTTTATGGCACTTTGCTGTGAAATACTTTAAATGTCTGTTAGGGCATTTTACTGAAAGTGTGGTTGTTAGTATTGTGCTGCTGGCACACGATCAGTTCATGATCGCTGGAGGTGGAGGCAGGGAATACACTGCAATGCCAAGCTGTTGCTGTGTGCTCGGCTGGGCGTATGGCTTGGTCATGCCAATGAGGACTGCTTCAAACAATCCGATTGAGATGCGGAAGGTGTATCGCAAGTGGCTTGATGCAGACTTCGGCATGGAGCGCTCAGTTTCATCCGGTGCTCTGTCTGAAATTCAGCCCACTCACCACAGCACCGCTCATCCCACTACTGGCAGCTGCCCTCCGTGCTGTGAATGGGGATGGGATTGCAAGCGGTGGACACATTGGCTGAAGAGGTCGCACAGGTGTTGGGCAGCCATGTTCGTCTGTTGCAGCAAAGAAGTAGAAGAAAATCTTGTGGCAACGAGTTTTTTTGAAGTATCTGTTTCTATGGGATATAGTCATATGGAGATATATATATATACACACACGGGGGGAATGTGAACAAGGGTTAAAAGACTGTGAAATGTAGGAGGTATCACATGTGACATTTCTATGTTAAATGCAAAAGTATAGAAGAGAAGCACAGTAACCTTTCACAACAATTGGGATTGCCAATAACAGACTATTTTGTTATGTTAAAACTTTTTCATGCTGGTATAGGCTAAAACAGGTTATCTCTTGGTGAATACTGTTATGTCTTTAACTGTATTAAAAACCATGTTAAGCTTGAGACCACAGTAAGGATTGTAAGCTGTCACAATTCTATTGGCTGTTGTATATAAGTACCCAATCAGAATGCAGAGCAATGTTCAGGAGGGAATGAATCTGATTGGTTGTTATCATTGTAATTCCATTGGTCCTTAACTGTTCTAGGGCATGGCTACTCCAGCCCGGAATAGTTTAAAAGGAGCTCCACTTTGTGTGTGTGTGTTCTCTGATTGTTCCTGTTACTTCAATAAAGCTGATTCACTGTTACTTACGAGACGGCGCTGAGTTCCATACTTAACAAATACAATCCTACGTTTTGTTCAATTTGGATTCAGACATCTCTCTTGGGAGACTCCCTTTAAAGTTTCTTTGTTGAAGATTGGTGAGTCTCTGGTCAGTGACAGAGTCGTGTCCTGGACGTCTGCAGTGGTCTGCCACAGGTTTCTGAATGCTGCCTTTTTGATGCCCACTTTCTGTTCATTTATTCTTTTGCACAGAAACGGACCCGTTTGTTCAATGAAGACAGCAGAAGGGCATTGTTGGCAGGTGACAGCATATGGTAGATGGCAAGTAGAAGTTGGAGGAAGAGCAAGTGAATGAGCCCTTGATGGTCTGGGTACATAGGCGTAATCTTTGTGGGGGCCCCGCCTAAATTTCAGGAAAGTGCTCAGCCTCCCCCGGGAGCCACCCTTGCTCCTACCACAGCAATGCCTCTGGCCCAGCCCCAGCCCCCCCCCCCCCTGGGAAATTGGAAAGTCTACACCCTTAGGAGGTGTTTAGGTTGCATGCTGCTTCCTTCCCCCTTCAGCTTGAGCGAAGGCTTGGGATTTCTCAACTCACTACAGGAGTTAACCACCTTGGCATAACTAGTGAAAGGTCTCTGTATTTTTCTTGAATAGATTTGAATGTTGCATAATGACATTTCATACAATACTTCCTGTATTTAATGGATGCTTGACTCTGCTGTTCTTTTTACTTATCATATCCTTACAGACAATAACAGCATAGTGAGGCTCCACTACATAGTGGGCTCCAGCCTGAAAAAGCTTATGCTGGGATACTATTTTACTAGCCTTTAGGGTCAGAAGACTCCTGTTTATTTTTGTTACAACAGACTAGCATGGTTACCCCTCTGGAATTATGAGGTTCTGGAACAGTGTTGTTTGAGGTCTGACATGTGGACCATCAACTAGATATGAACTGGGAATTTCTCTTCCTAGTTCCCAGATGCCTGGCTCCTTCTAACCAATGTGGTATTTCTACTGATCCTGGTCCCACTGAAAGACCGTGTCATAGACCCATTCCTGGCAAAGAGGAAGCTGTTGCCTTCACCACTAAAGAGGATGGCTGTGGGTAGGATCTTTGGCTTTGCCTCAGTCATTGCAGCAGGTAAGATATTCATGCAACCTTTGCTGTATATGCCATGCCTTCTAGAGGTAAAGCTTTTGCGACCCAAGTGTAAAGGATCAGAGTTGGGTTTTGTTTAACCCACATGGCTAAAAAACTAAAAAACATAATCTATCATTTCGGGACCCAGGAGCATGCTTCCAAAGCTCCTCAGTACTAATTTGCACATGGATCACATTTTTTCCTTACACTTTCATCAAGTTGCTCAGGGTGGCATTTACAGGTGTTTTTTCCCCCTGGGGGAACGTGCTGGAACAGAGTTCCAGAACCTCTTTGGCAAAATTCTTTTTAAAATGTTTAAAAGTTTATGAGTTTTCAGTAAGCAGATTGAAAACTTCATTTCCCTCTTGAGAGTTCGGCAGCTCTTTTTCAAAAAAAAAAAAAAAAGGAAAGGAAAGGAAAAGGCACCCTGCTTTAACTTTATCCTGACAACAAAGCTGTGAGGTAGGCTAAGTTGAAAGACGATGCCTTGCCTAGATCATTCAGTGAGCCTGGTGAATCCCACTTTGACAATCAGGCCACTGGCACCACACAGGCTCTTGCATTCAGAAATATCTAGGACCGTACCAGTTTAGTGTGCAAATGGGAGGATTGTATGCATTTACATGCCACTTCTTTTACACACACACACACACACACACACACACACACACACACACACACACAAATTAAACTAGCACATCAGGGAGAAAACTAGGCAAGAGCCCTGCTTCACAACATAGTATTCATATGCAGGCAGAGAGCTTTTGATGTGGAATGTGTGGAGTCAAACCTTCCCACCACTTCCCCCCTGAAAATTTAAGTCTGCCTTGAGCCATGGGATGCTTTAGCCGGGGTTGGTTCCTTGCCAAGCTATATAACTAGCAGAGAACAGTAAGATCAACAAACCGTAAAAGGTAAAGGTTCCCTTGCTCGAAAGCCAGTCGAATCCGACTCTAGGGTTGTGGTGCTCATCTCCCTTTCAAAGCCAAAGAGCCAGCGCTGTCTGAAGACATTTCTGTGGTCATGTGGCCGGCATGACTAAACACCAAGGTGCACGGAACGCTGTTACCTTCCCACCAAAGTGGTACCTATTTATCTACTTGCAATTTCTTGCTTTCAAACTGCTAGGTTGGCAGGAGCTGGAACTAGAGACGGGAGCTCACTCCGTCATGCGGCACACTCGGGTCTCAAATTGCTGAACTACCGACCTTCCACAGCCTGCAGTTCAGCGTCTTAACCACTTGAGCCACCGCAGTAGTCCTGGTTTAAAAACATCTACACTTGCCTATCATACCTGTACAGTTGAGTGTTACTGTTCTCATCTGGGCCATCTGGGCATGCCCACAGAGAGCCCTACTTCCTGCTCCCCCCTTGGGCTGCACTACTTGTGTATTGCCATCAGGCAGCCATTGGCATCGTAATTCACAAGAACACAATGCTGTGAAAGGGAGGGGGGCCATTTGAAGTGCAATAAATTGCCATGAAGGGAATTAAGTGGCTCTTGTTAGGAGCTGCGGTGGCTCAAGTGGTTAAGACGCTGAGCTGCAGGCTGTGGAAGTTCGGTGTGTGCCGCACACCCGAGTGTGCCGCATGACGGAGTGAGCTCCCGTCTCTAGTTCCAGCTCCTGCCAACCTAGACGTTCGAAAGCAAGAAATGGCAAGTAGATCAATAGGGACCACTTCGGTGGGAAGGGAACAGCGTTCCGTGCGCTTTGGTGTTTAGTCATGCCGGCCACATGACCACGGAAACATCTTCGGACAGCGCTGGCTCTTTGGCTTTGAAATGGAGATGAGCAACCCTAGAGTCGGATTCGACTGGCTTTCGAGCAAGGGAACCTTTACCTTTTTAACTGGCAACAGGTGGAGCTGTTACTGTATACTGCATAGTGTTGTTAACGACAACCCTAATAGGGGGTCCCTAAGTTGGAAGACAGTTGCTCAGGTATTCCCTGAACGGAAATGTTTCTAGTGAATAGGTGTTCTTGAGACTAAGAGGCTAAAATATGTGCACAACAATGATACCATCTCCCAGCAAATTGGGAAGGATGATTATATTGCCGCGTCCCTCCCCATCTGGTGGCAAATCCCCTAGTACCTGCTTATTGGCATCAGCGAGATCTTTGCTAGCATCCCAGGTAAGCAGCATAGGAGAGACCTATTGTCCTTTCAAACAAACATCTGAAAAGTTGCTGTATTTGAACAGGGAACGGGGGGGGGGGGGGTTAGGGGCCCCCTCCCTACCCGCTCCCACTCAGTGCTTCGTCATTTCTAATCAGTCCAGCATCAGATTTTCCTCTTTATAGGAGTGGTTGGGCTATATGTTTCGCATGCTTATGTGTGGGGTATACTTATTTATATGCTGCCTTTGAATATATAAGGCAACTTACAAAATATGAAAAACAATACACAGTAAAAACCAACAAACTGAGCATTTACAGTTTTACCTAATGTGTTCAGATTTTCTCTTTTTAAGTAACTCTTAGTATGTGTGAGTGGAGTGGGGGGAACTGCACTGCTGTCTTGTCACCCCCATGGCTTCAGAGGAATGTCCTGTCTCCATCATCTCTACGCCACTTCTTGACCGTATCTTGATCTCCTTGCTGACTGATTCACTGGACTCTTTCCTAGGGCTGGAGTTTGCCTACTCCGAAGCTCCCAAATCCATGCAAGGAGCCATCATGGGTCTCTCCTACTTCATTTCTGGTGTGGGATACCTTTTAGGATCTGGCCTCCTGACTCTTCTCTCCCTGCCAGCCAATGGTTGGATGAACTGCCCAGAGGACACGCTGCCCCCTAGCCATAAGAGAAGGCATCAGGGCTAAGAACAAGAAGAGAGTAGTTATCATGGAAAAGCAAGACTCTGTTTTAAATTCCACATTAAACATGAATACTATCCCTTGTACTCACATATGAATGTAGATTTGAAAGATTATCCTCACCCTGCCCTTGGGACACACTTCATTTTGGTTCAAAAAACCTACCTTTTGACAGTGATGCCCTCATTTAACAGGATTCCGTATAGGATTCTCTTCTTGGATTCAGAATTGCATGGACAAATTGGATGTGGATGTGTGTAATCACTCTGATGTGTATCCAGATGGGCAGGGTCCAGTGTGACTCACAGTCTTATCTGCATGGTGTGGACTGGAATGCCTTTTCTTACCTGTCTCGTAGTACAGAAACAATGACATGTCTCCCACCTGTTTGAGACCTTCTTCACATACTTACTTGGTGGTACGGGAACCATTTCCTTATGGCATGATCCTGCACCACTGGGGTGTGAGTGTGGGTGGGGCCTTTTCCATCTGATTAGCATTCTACTACTCCAGAGTCAGAAAAGATTTTCACAGTTGGATTAGTCCATGTAGTCAGACACTCCTCAGCAGCACTGGATTGTACCACTGGGAAACAGCTGTTTGTATGAGAAAGTGTCAGCTAGGCCTCTGGCTATGCTGCCAGGGGTGTGTGTGGAGGGAACTCTGGAATTTTGACTTTCGTCTCTGCTGTGTTTCCAGTCTGGTGTTCTTTTCTCCTGAGAATGATTGCCCGTTACTTTGGCGGGTTTCTACCTGGCCTCTGATTGGTCCCCTGGGCCGTCAGGGGACCCCCTTGAATGATGTAGATCAGCTTTTTGTGTGTGCTTTAAGCCAGTTCTAACACAAAAGCATTTAGACATCTGCATACTCTCAATGTCTCAATGAATGAAAGCTGTTGGGAACTGATTGCTTGCAGGAGTCTGACAGAAGGGGTGTGTGATGGGGGCCTCAGGCTAACTAGACGTGTTCAATGCAACAGTTGTGCATGACTCTGTCTAGATAGATCAGGACCTGTGACAACAGTTATTAAAAGTAACTTCTTAAGCCTGACAACTGGTACTTTGGGTCTTCCACTGCACCTATCAGTTTCCTGAGAATCCCAGTGTTCAAGCAGGTCTGGAAAGGCAGCAAACAAATGTCTCAAATACTTTTCCCAAATAAACTTTCTTTTTTTTTTTTTCCAAAAAGAGAATTTTAGTGAGAAACAACAGAAGGAGAACATCCTGTCTAAAAGCTTTGTGCCTGCTTGGCATGGCTTGTAAAGAACATAGGAACATAAGAGAAGCCAATGCTGGATCAGGCCAGTGCCCCATCCAGTCCAACACTGTCACACAGTGGCCAAAAATACCAGGTGCCATCAGGAGGTCCAGCAGTGGGGCCAGGATACTAGAAGCCCTTCCCCTGTTGCCCCCCCCCCCCCAAGCACCACAGAGCATCCCTTACCCCAGACTGAGAGTTCCTATCTGATACCTTGTGGCTAACTGCCACTGATGGACCTCTGCTCCATATGCTTATCTAATTCCCTTTTGAAGCCGTCCATGCTTGTAGCCGCCACCACCTCCTATGGCAGTGGGAATTCCAGGTGTGAATCACTCTTTGGGTGAAGAAGTACTTCCTTTTATCCGTTCTAACCAGACTGCTCAGCAATTTCATTGAGTGCCCATGAGTTCTTGTATTGTGAGAAAGGGAGAAAAGTACTTCTTTCTCTACCTGCTCTATCCCATGCATAATCTTATAAACCTCGATCATGTCACCCCTCAGTCGTCGCTTCTCCAAGCTAAAGAGCCCCAAACACTTCAACTTTTCTCCATAGGGAAAGTGTTCCAACCCTTTTATCATTCTAGTTGCCCTTTTCTGCACTTTTTCCAATGCTATAATATCCTTTTTGTGGTGTGGTGACCAGAACTGTACACAGTATTCCAAATGAGGTCGCACCATTGATTTATATAGGGGCATTATGATATTGGCTGATCTGTTTTCAATACCCTTCCTAATAATCCCCAGCATAGCATTGGCCTTCTTTATTGCAGTCACACACTGTCTCGACATTTTCAGTGATTTATCTACTACAACTCCAAGATCTCTCTCTTGATCAGTCTCTGCCAGTTTGGACGCCATCAACGTGTATTTATAGTTAGGATTTTTGGCCCCAATGTGCATCACTTTGCACTTGGCTGCACTGAACCCCATTTGCCACTTGATGCCCCGTGACAGAATGTCTTTTTCAGTTTTCACAGGGTTCTGTCCTAAAGTCTGTATGCCTTTGCCCTGTAAAGCCTCCATCATGGTGCCCTGAGTCCTTCTCGTGCCTTTTTTTAATGAAAAACCACAGTACCTATGATGCTTTCTGTAATAAATTGCCACTGTTTCTGCTGATGTGAATGGACATGGCTAAGCATTTCTAAACCATTCCTGACTGGTTAGATTGCTAATGTAACCAACTCATTAATGTAAATAACCAATGTTATCTTTGATTTATTCTGCCTGTAAATAACCAATGTTATCTTTGATTTATTCTGCCTGTGGTAGATTGTCAAATGGGACTACGGCAGGTAGAACTTTGTGTTTGCAGTAACCTCAGGTCTGTGGTTGCAGAGGTGGCTTCAGGCCTCTTGGTAAGCAGGCTCCCATGCCAGGTCAACGGCAGATGCATGGTGGTTGGAAGTTGGAAGAGGGCATGCACTCCGACAGAATGTCCCAGAGTGACATCTGGCCTAAGACCTTGCTGGCTGCCTACGAATGGAGAGCCACTATGGTGCAATTGCCTGGCCCCACCAGTAGGCCCTTACCTATCTATAACGGCAAGGCATGAGGGCTGTGCAGGATGGAGCCTGGGGTTTGAGGGAACATGCTTTTGGATTGCTGGACATGGAGCATCCAGGAAATGAAACACCATGAATAGTGAATGCTGTAGAGTGTGGTAAGGGGTGCTTACTGATTAATCCCCCCCCCCAAGGAACATCAACAAGTGTCAGATGGATAATTATTCCTTCCTACTTGCGGCGATCCAAGCAGTAACTTGTGTCCTCGTTGTCTGGCTCTCTATCCGTTATGAGCATCAACAGCGGCCCAACTCCTGCCTTCTCTGCATTGGACAGGAGGAGAACTAACATGCTTGTTTTTTGCAAGACTGTGAGGATCTCTGCATGTGGCCAAACATCACCACCACCACTATTCTATATCGATAGCATACAGGGATGTTTTGAACTCAAACAATATATTAAAGGATTAGAGACCTTCACTGAAGACAGCACAACCAATGGCAGGCCGTCAAGTTACGCAGGCACCACAACCCTCTATTCAAGGTGTCATCAACATCTTATTTCCAGAAGCTGAGCATGAATAACAGAGGATGGGGAGCTGAGAGCTGAAATTACCTGGGAACACTGCAAGCCACTGCTTAGCTCTCTGGCCAGATGAGGGGAGACCACTGTCTGACTCAGCAAGGCCGCTCCTGTCAACAGATTCATCAACACCTACCAGTCTCCCTGCCACGGTTGTAAGCCGCCCTGAGCCCGCACGCGGGGAGGGCGGCGTATAAGTGGAAATAAATAAATAAATAAATAAATAGTCATGCTTCTGAGGAGGAGAGGAAGTGGAGAGGAGAATTAAAACAAAAGAGGGGATTTTACCCACCACCAATGCCTCAATGTGAAGCTGACTCTCAGTGCCAAGAGTATCCTATTGTCAAGCTCACACCTATCCTGGAATTGCCGTGGAGACATCTAAAAAAACCCACCACTTCCATAAAAGCTACAACAGAACAGGAGATCAGTGGCACCTTAAGGACTAACAACAATTTATTCCTGCACAAATGTAGTTAGTCTTTGAAGTGCCACTGAAGTCCTGCTTCATTTTGCTGCTACAGACTAACAAGGCCACCCTCTGAAACTATCAAAGTTACATGATTCTCACTGGCTAAGGCCAAAATGACATGATGGACAGAACGAGAGGGGGGTGGGGCTATGACAAAATATCAGGTTGACAGCAAACCTTTCCGTATTATATACAGAAATACAGAGGGGGAGGATTAATGTTTTTCTCTTCCTCTAACCTGATGTGGTCTCAAACATGCATGTTGTTGTTGCTGAGAAACACTGCACTTTCTTTTTTTTTGCACAAAAAGCTACATCCATTGGTCTCCTTCTGGGGCCGCCGCCATTCTACTTAAAAATATGGGTGCAGGAGTTCTGAGTACAATAGTGAACATTTTGCATATGGCCTGTGAGATTACATCATGCTTACCTGGGAGATACAGGAATGGACAGATGTGTTCTTGTGGAAAGTACCTTTTTGAAGACTGATGCATTCTTTGGACTCTAAACATTGTTCAGCTTGCAATGCAATCCCCTATGTACAACTTCCATATATATATATTTTGTAATAAATTCTCTAACAGTCTCATGACATTTAAGCCAGCCTTGCTTTTTTGACAGTTTCACTCTTTGGACACAGCTCTGTTGGAATGGACAGAACTGGGAATATACGGCTGTAGTAAAACCAGAACACCTAACACAAAAGATAACAATATATCAAGAGTGAGTTGTGTGGGAAAGGCCCAGCATGTGCGAGTTATCAAAATTGTCTTCTGTTTCTAACAGAGCGTCATCTTTTAACTGGTCAAGAGCATCCAGCTTGCACAGCTGGGCTGGAATTTGTCAGGGCTCATTTCCACTTTGAATATGTTGGATTTGCTCTTTCATGATTCATGATTTATTTGCCATTTTAAAATAGATGCTAAAATCCCGACAGAAACATTTCATGCTTTGCGAGGCTTATCTGGAATACCACAGATAAATTTCATGGGTCCCGTTTGGGCTGTTTCGCAGTAATGTAAAATCTTGTCCTGTGTCAGTGAACTTGTTGGCTTGTTTGAAGTGTTAGTGAAGGAAGGAAGACAGACTAGACCCACAGAGTCAACATGTTTCTGGATCACGGCGTAAGACGGAGCTTATCTACCCTCCACAGGTATGCAGAAGAAGCATTTTTCAAAAGATATGGGAGGTGATGGGTGAAGGAGACCACACTCCCCGAGGCTTCCTCTGTTGCACAACTATGAAAGGGACAAGGATCTCAGCTTACTGGGAAATGGCAGCAATTGAGGGGCGGGGAGACGGAATCCCACTCTTGGCAGGCACCACAAGGGGGGGGGCGGCGGGTAGAAGCAGGGGCTCCGAGGACCGTGTTGTTCAAGCATGTGGCTGCTGACTGGCCAACTGTGCCCAGTACAGGCTGGTGATGTGCCCTGGGGGGCTGCTGGCAAGTAAGTTATCCTATCCCTAGGCAATGTTGCCCTTTCAAGGCCAGTGCCTCTTCCACCACCTTATGCCTGCTGCTACTGGAGATATCAGGTCCTCCCTTGTTTGCTGCTCAGCAGTGGCAGCCTCTGTACTTCACCGTCTGACCAGTATCTGCCGCAGGACTCCTGCCTGCATCTGTTTTGCTCTTTTTAAGATCCGCCTGTGCCAGGTTGTTTTGCCGCCTATCACATTAAGACCTGCTCGCACGGTGAGAGGGACGGAGCCACAGGAGCCAGGCAGGCAGCTGCCCAGGGTTTCTCCTGAACGGTCTAACAATTGGGAACTCCGTGTTCCCTGCAGCCTGGGTCGAATCCTGCCCATGCGGGTGAGAGGTGTGATCAGGGAGGGGAGGGCCTGCAAGTGTCTGGCTTCCATCTCACTAACGGGGAGCAGATGCTTAGATCAATCTTCCCAAAACACAAACTTTTGCTGCCGTTTTAATTATTATTTATTTTAATTTTTAAACAATGTAAGAATTAAAAATCTTCCATAAATAAAGGACTTGCCCGACAGGCTCCCAATACTACAGGTATAAAATATGAGCGATTGTACAAAACGGTTAAGGACACCAGGCACACAGCTGGGGTTAAAAAAAGGGCCGCCCGTTGCTCTCTAGAACTCTGCCCTTGCCTGGCTTTGAGGTGTGGGGGGGGAGAGCGAGCCCCAGGCTCAGACCACAGGAAGGAAGGAAGGAAGGACACTCGCTGTTGAAACCATCACAATGGACACAAATTGGCAATGAGAGTCAAAGCAATAAGGGAGGCCCAGGATCAGGCTCCCCCTGGAGTCTCCTCCGGAGTACATCACAGTCGGCTTGCTGCTGGTGTTCAGCTGATTCCCAGTCTGTAAACTCTTCACCCCTAACCGTAATGAAAACTGGTGGGGTGGCAAGGAAGAAGTAATGAGGACCTGTAGGCTTTATGCCCAGGAGGAACTGACCCCGACCCACAAATCCCTCTCCAGAATGAAAAGGAACAGCCGAGGAAGGTCTCTAACATAGAGATCTCCAGGGTATCCCTGGCACAGTGACCCAAGGGTGCTTTTACCTGTTGTGTAAAGCCCTCTTTAGACGATCAGGGTGATGTGCCCAGCTGGATGACCCTAAGAGAGCACTCAAGGGAGAGCAAAGGCTGATCCCTTATTGGTTTGCCCATGTGGGGTATTGGTGGGGCACAGTAGAGATGGACGTCAGGAGCTGCCCCGGATCCTCTCCATGTAGCTGCGCAGCTCGTCAGGGTCACGCAGCCCCATGTCCTCGCACACCCAGCGGATGTCATCTTCACTGGCCACCAGGATGGACTGAACTGCGGGGGCGGAGGCTGGGGGGCTGGGAGCAGAGCCAGGGGGAGTAGCAAAGGTCACAAACTCCACGCGCTTCCGACGACCACCGACCTCCCTCCCGTCCTTTTTCCTGGACAAAGTAGTGGTGAGAGCTGGGCTTCCTGGGGCAGTCAGACCCAAAGTACTGGCAGAAACGTCAGGTTCTGGCCCTGGTGGAGCTGGGCTCTCTTGGGCCACAGCCTCCATCTTGCCCTCTGCCCCCACACAACAGCAGCACCCGTCACTGGTGCCGGATGGGTCAAGGGGCTGGTCTTGGCAATGCTGGCTGCACAGATCCAGCTGCCGGCTGAGTTCCTCCTGGTCAGTGCCCAGCCAGACCCAGTTGTGGGGCTGCTGGGCAGAGGAAGCGCCCCCGGGCCCAGCATCAGGGGGCTCCTTGCGCTGGTAGCGAAGGACAAAGACCACACAGTTGATGAGGAAGATGAAGATGGCAAGGCAGAACACACCCAGGAGAACGTACATGCCAATCTCCAGGTCTGTCACCCTCTCGGGAGCCTTCACCATCTCATCCTCCTCCTCCTCCTCCTCCTCTGGTTCAGCATCCTCATAGGAGCTACTACCCGGCCCCTCAAATTTGGTCATTGGTGGTCCCACCCCCACTGGATGTCTCCTTGATCCCTTTCCGCTCACTGTGGCAGCTGCAACTGTCATCGCTTCACCTGACATGGCACCTTCTGCTCGCTGGAAGGGGGACTTGCCACGGGGATGGGGATCCTGTCGCAGAGGGCTACTGGTTGTTGGCAGGTGCTTACCAAAGTTCACTTCCAGCCATATTGTGCTTTGAGCAAGTGGAGCCCTATGTTTGCCCTTGCGGCAGGAGTCTGGGGAATGCAAGCTGAGTTGCAGGAGGGGTCCTTTCCCTGCTCCCTCAGCAACAATCACGGGGCGATCCTGCTCCTCACTGAGCCGCACAGATACCACACTGGGATTCAGAGAGGAGAGCGAGAGCACCAGATCCCGCCAGCCATAGAATTCTAGAGGAGCCAAGGTGTGGTCGGTGAATACGAGCCAGATGCTCACCACGGCTTCCTGCATGGAAAAGGAAAACTAGGCTTAGGACAAAGACAAAGCGTGTGCACACACAGCTTAATATGACCTAAGGCGTGTCACAGCTTTTGATATTAGTCTGCATGCTAGACTTGAGTGAGCCTAGAATCCGATGGTGTCTTGTCCAGTTTTAGGGGTCAGGAGACCTTGAGAGATGGGCTCCATGCATTGCTGGACCCATTAATCCGCAGAGTCCAGCACGCCAATTCCAGTCAGGAAAGAAGTGTAGCCACCTTCAGCACACCACCATGAGTTTCTACGCCTTCTGTGCTACTCCACTGCTGCCACGCGTGAGGATGCAAAAATTGACAGAACGTGATGCCATAAAAAGGGCATCACTAGATTTTGCCAGAGCAGAGAGGAGAAGATAAAGGTTCGATTTTTGTGATGGCAGCTCCAAATCTCCCACGGCATCTAGTTCTGACCTGAATGGACCACAGCAGGATGAACAGGCTACATTTTCAATGTGCACTGTCAAAGACACAAAGGACTCCAAGGGGATCCAAGGAACCGCACTTGGCATCCACTCACCAAGTCAGCAGCACATGTGGCCCCATTAAGGCAATGCCTGGTTGGACGTTTAGCAGTGACTGGCCCTTTAACAGCCCACTGCCAGACAATCGGCTGGGAGGCAGCCTTGAGACAGGAGTGGGGAAATGAGGGGATGAGTCACAACTGAGAAGGGGGGGGCGGGGGGGGGGAAACGGGACAGTATCTTCCTGTGGGAATTGTTCCTATCTCATAGAGATTCCAGAAGGGTGGAGACACCAGAAGGGCTGGCCTCATGATGAGAGAAGATGAAGAGACTAGATTTGTACCCCACCCTTCACTACCCAAAGGAGTCTCAGAGCGGTTTACAATCCCTTCCCCTCCCCACAACAGACACCCTGTGAGGTAGGTGGGGCTGAGAGAGCTCTCTCAAGAACTGCCCTTGAGAAAACAGCTCTGAAAGAACTTGTAACGGACCCAAGGTCACACCAGCAGCTGCATGCGGAGGAGTGGGGAATCAAACCCAGTTCTCCCAGATTAGAGTCCGTGCTCTTAACAACTACACCAAACTGGCTCTCTTCATAAGTAGGGATGGGCACAAACTGGGAAAATGTGATTCATTTCGGTTTGTGGCATGTCTGGTTCATGAGCCACGAACCATAACAAACTTTATAGAACCAAACACCCCGGTTCAGTTTGTGAGGTTCACAACATAGTAGAACAGGCCCCCCCCCACAGTGTGCTAGGGACACCAAACTCACAAGGGATTTCCAGCTGACTCTCCTCTACCTGCCCTGCAAGTTTGGTGAGGATTGGATTTACAGGGTCCAAGTTACAGCCCCCCAAAGAAGGCACCCCCAGGAAAGTGCTTTCTGGAGAAATGACAGGTGCAGGTTCAGGAGGTTCAGGAGTGTATAGAGCAGACCCTGTGCAAGCTGGAGACATCAGAGTCAAAGGGCACCTCCCCCTGATGCTCCTCTACGTGCCCTCCGTGTTATGTGCAGATTGGACTTAGGGGGTGCAGCTTCAAAAGTGTATAGAATGCACCCCCTGCAAGCTACACAAACCAAATGCACAGGCTGCAGAATTCCACCCCCCCCCACACTTCTTTGAAGTTTGGTAAACACTGATTCCAGACAGTCTGTCTGGAAATACATCCATTCATGAACTGCTACGAACCACTTGAAAATTCATGCTGGTTGATCTGCCACGAACTTCAGTTTGTAAACCACAAATCGCCCAAAATTTGTCACAAACTTTAGTTTGTGAGCCAGTTCATGCCCATCCCTTTCATAAGGCAAAGGGAAACCAGCTCTTGCTCCACAGGCTGAAAGGACAATAGTCAGGCAGAGGACAAGGGTGAAGGAAACATCCTCCTTTATCATTCTGAGACCTGTGGGAAGGTATGCAGCGTTCCCTGACGGCAAGAATCTGCCAGACTTGAGCAGGTCTTCTACATGTACATTCAGCACCTGCTTGGCCCATAAAATGGCTGCATGTTAAATTAACAAAGCTATCAACTGCCCACCGAGCTCTCCGTCCACTCTCCTGCTGGACTCCTGGTCTTCTTACCTGCTTCACGGAATGCAGGGCAGAGAGTCCCTGACACATGGCAGTGAAGACATTTGAGTGTCCTGGCTCCACAGAGAGTGACAACGAGAGGCCTGATACCAGCTGGGTTTGTAGCTCAGAGATGGAAACCTTCTCATCAGACACCACCAGAGTCTGCTCCCCCAGGATTGAATCAGACACAGGAGAGCGCACCTGAACCAGGAAACAGAGAAGACATGATGAAGTTCAAGTGGAGACAACTCACAGAACCAGTGCCCAGGTTATCTGATGCCCCATCTTATCTGTCCCAAAACTAAGCTAGCGAACGGCTACTCTCCTGGTCACTTCGAGTGAGAATTGCCTCCAAGCAACCAAGCAGACATTTTTTCCCCCTTTCCCTTTTAGTTCACAAATTATTCATGCATGGCCAGAAAAGATCATGAAGATATTTGTGGGCTTGTAACTTCCCTGGGAATTTCTAAGACTGGCTAATCTCTTTTGTTTCTTAGACTCCCTCTCTCACCATTCACCACATGGCTTTGCATGTTGTTTTTCAATCTACCCTGCAACCCAATCTCATTTATACCAGCCTGATTTGTTCTTCACTTACCCACCTCTCCTCCCGCAATCGTGACTGTACCCAATTTCTAAGCCCCCGTTTACAAAAGTCCGTGCTGGTGATGCTGCTGCAGGTCCACATCCAAAGCACCCATACACAAATTGTGGGTAACCCACAGATCCCAACCTTCTTGACAGCCCATTGGCAGTAGGTTTTCATCACACAATACAAATGTCTCATCCTGGTCCACATCAGTAATGAACAAACTCCTTACCTCCACTGATGTCATTCCTGCCTCACGACCAATCACTACACTCCCGTCTTCCAGTGTTGCCACCCGAGGATCCTGGATCCTAGCATGCTTTTGCACTAGATGTGAGACATCCAGCAGCCAATTAGAACTTGGCATATAGGTCAGGTGACGGCCACCATCTAATGGATGAGCCACAAAGTGGGCTAGGAAGCGGACCCCAGCACGCTGGTACTGGAGCCGGCAGCCACGAGCTCTCCTTTCCAACTCCTCTCCACCCTGTTCAGGCTCGGCCGGGTTCCTGGTTGAAGAAAGAACAATAATAATACTATTCATGAATGAATTTCAAGAGTTAGAATCATTCCACATGCATTATTTCAGTAACGTCAGGGAGGTAAGACTGGCTAACATTATCCCCAAGAAAAATCCACATAACAGAAAAGAGTCAGCAGAATAGGTTCGTAGGATCCAAGCCAATATGTCTGATATACTACTGAAACAGATGTCTTTGTTCCAATGTACAAGTATCACTCCAGTAACCAACCATCAGGACAACAGAAACAATTTATTAATATGTTAAATGTACTAACACTGTATCTCAGCAGAGAAAATCGCCTGGAAGACCTGGCTGGAATCAGCATGGTGGTAGGGAGCAGGGACCTCAGTAGTCTGCCCTCCTGCCTGGATGGAGCCATATAGTCACCATACCAGTCTGCAGCTGGATGCTGACAAAGACGATGGTCTGTTTCAGAACCTCGCATGTTTCTCTGCCATCAGCAGAGCATTCAGTAAGCACAAAGGTCTCAGTCTATTTTTGCACTTTGTTCTCCTGGACCCCCGCACCAACAGCTGCCTATCAGCAAAAAAACTGTTGGGTTGGCATGGTTGCAGGTTCAAATGAACCTGTCCTAACATAAAGGCCCTCTCCTATGCCACAAATATCAGAACTCTGGACAAGAACTTCAAATTTCCACTTGAGACTGACCTCCTACATCCTTCCTCTCCTGTAGTCAGGTTCTTATGCAGTAGGTGTATCATAAGGCTTACCCCCAGGAGGCAGGAAATCGCCACCCTAGACTGTAAAAAGTATGCTCAATCAACATGATGCTGCTAACCCACTGGGCTCCATATGACTTACCCTTCTGAGGCAGTGCCAGGCACCCTCCAGCCTCGCACCTGCTCAAGTGAGGTGTCGGTCAGCTCGATGCGCAGAGGCAGCAGTGGGGCCCAAACGGTAAACAGCAGTGAAGCATGGAGTCGGCGGTACCAGAAATCTACCCGTACACCACGTGCTCCTCGGCTCTCTTTACCCCCTACGTAGACAGCATCACACACATCTGATACCTGATGATGCATTAAAGAAAACATTAAGAGACGGAGTGGCCAGAGAGATATCTGCAGGAAGTGTGAGAAGGCAAAGTCCTGGCCCCAGTTCTCAAAACTGACCAAGCCACATGTGTAGAATGAACATTCGCTGCCCTGCCTTGCTGTGCTGTGTGGCAAATAACCTCCATCTTTTGTACCTTACCAGGGCATAGAGGCTTCTCAAGGCAGACTGATTTTTTAAGGTTTCACACACCTTAACAGTAAAACGCACTTTGGATCATGAAGACAAATGACCTTAAGGAAAAAGGTCCTCCAGAAGTTAACGAAGCTTTAATCTGGATTGTCCTGGCGAGGTGCTCTGCCCTCCCTGCTGCTGTACTTGAAGGAAAATATTAGAATATTCCTTTCACAGAAAGGCTTTGTGCCTGCCCATTAAGGGAGACTACAGAGCACATGTTTTTTAGATGTCTGTATTATCAGGTGGTGCGTAATAAAATCATCACGCCGCTGACTGAACAAATTCTGGGCCTCTCCGAAAAAGATAGACTCGAGTTCCTTCTATCTGATAGAAATCCCAAGATTACCCACCAAGTAGCCAGTTTTTGTATGGTGATACTCAGATCACGGAAACCCCAAGGCAGCTAGTTAGATATTAGATTAAATAGTTAGATCTTAGATTAAATTTTGCTTTTAATGTTTTACTGATGTATTTTAAAATCTTGGAATTTTGTAAAGGTATACTTATTTTTGTATGACTGGTCTAAGGACTGTAGAAATAAACTAACTAACTAATCCGGATTGTCCAAAACCTGTTTTGCTTTGATTTTTGTTGTTGTTCTTGCATTTTATCCTTAAGGTGTGTGGAACCTTAAAAAATCTTTTTGCCTTCAGAGGCAATAGCAGATTAAAAGAGCCCATATGAAAGGGGAAGCTTGCAAGCCAAAAGGCATGAGAACATGATGGGTAACAAGGAAGGCACACAAGATGGACACAGAGGGATGCCAGAGGCCTATCTGAGAGAAGTAGGCATAGAGTGAGGAACACATGAGTTGAGATATCTATCAAGTGATAGGGAAGGGATTTCTTTTTTTTAAAAGGTAACAAGGAAGGCACACAAGATGGACACAGAGGGATGCCAGAGGCCTATCTGAGAGAAGTAGGCATAGAGTGAGGAACACATGAGTTGAGATATCTATCAAGTGATAGGGAAGGGATTTCTTTTTTTTAAACCCTCAAGAGGGTAATTTTATTGGTTTTTTAATAGACTACATAACTACAACAGAAAATATAGGAAGGAGGACTACAACTAGGGATAAAGAAAAGATACCCACACTAACTAAAAACCCAAGAGTAGGAGATAATGTCCGTGTTAATCTACATGTTAGTCAATATGTGTTAGTATAACAATATACTTGTGAGTTATTTTTAGCTATTGCTTCAATGTTAATAATTTTAATATTTTGAGAACACTTCTTGAGCATCTTCTTATTTTCATAGGGCTATTTTCAGAGTCCTTCTGCCTTTACTTCTGTCTTCTTTCTCTGAAATCATACACCGTTTTGCTTGCTCCCGCACCCGCTTCCTCCCCAGAGTCCTCCCCCATTCCAGA